TTTTATCTTTAAGGATGTTACTTCTCAGGAGGCACGCCAGCTGAAATCACGTTTTCGGATGTAATTTTAGCTAATGTGTGTTTCCTAAATGAAAGAAACGTAAATGCCAATGGAAATAGAGTTCGTTGAAGTTTGATTGGTTGTCCTGATTCACAGATTAAAGTAAACCTCAATAAACATGGAAGAAATACGTGTTTGTAGAATATGTCCAGCTAAATCGTTTCTCAAAATTTACCCATAAGATTGAAGTTAAGCGTAGGCCGTCCAAAGACATAACAAACTCCTTAACTAAACTTCAAATAATCCAAATTCCAGAACATTCATATGAACAGTTCTAACATAGTTCTGGTGCTGTAAAATCTTTTGTAAGCCAAAAAAAAGAAAAGCTGTTGAAACACAGTTAGCTACGATAAAAGCACAAAACTCTCATAGTCTAGATAAGAGTATCTGAGTAAACATTAACAATTATCTAAAAGTAAATAAACCACAAACGAGTTTCCTTCAAAAGCTATTAGCATCTTTTTCGATGTTTTCTTTTCGTTTAACCTTTGATTGTCGGTGCAATAAACATAGAACGGAGCTCCGAACTTCTTTTAAAAGAACATATTACTTTTCCTGGTGGTTTATTAACCTTTTGATAATTTTCACGCTAAGTCCCTAAAATAACCATTAACAGTTGTTTACACACTACTAAGGTTTAGTAGATACCATTAATATATTTATTCTCCAAAAACGAACCCACAATAATAGAAATAGGAAAATCCCTCTCCTACAAGCAAACCGAGTACTGAGAGAATTTCAGGGAATATTTCCCGTCATAATCAGTTCTATCGATAGCAGGGGAAATTCTTGAACGTATTAAATACCGAGTTCATCAAATATGAATAAATGTGGCTTGAGTAAATATCAATTGAAAACAATGCCAATTGAACAAATATCAAATAGATCCTAAACATGTCCTTAAATTCGTGCCACAGCAAAATGGTCAAACATCAGATGGCATTACGCGATAAATACTTGTTATGCAATGCTTTCTAGTAGCATACCATGGAATTAAATCCCACGTGTAGAGTCTTGTATCTATGCTGAGAAAACACAACTGACAAGAAGGTTATTTCATGGTATACCACGAGAGAGCAAATTTGCATAACTTTTTTATATCATACCATGGAAACTAAAGCAGCCAAAACAATCAATTTAAAATACGTATGGTATATGATGGGAAGGTTGGATGTAATACTCTCAAATATACAATGGCTTCCCTTAAACAATGCCAATTGAAAAGAGAAGTCACGTTTAACTAGTGAATGTTGTTCTGTAAACAAACACCTAGAAAGAATGTTCAGCTAGTTAATCGGCCTGGAGAAAACGCAACCATTAAAAGGCACAAAGGTTGAAACATTTCTTTTATGTGCCTTCTGCAAAAGCGAATTGA